CTAAAGTTAAATTAATTTGAATTTTTGGAATTAATTTTTACCGATTATTATAACATGTCCATTTAACCATATAACTATAAACCAATGTAAACCATCTAACCCAGTAACCATATGCCTATTTTTAGCAATGACTAACTTACTATTACTAAGCTAACGTAAAAATGTTTGAACTAAGGCAAGGTAACTAGGGTCCATAGTACAAATAAATAAATAAATATTTTAATATATCTGCTATAGCATATATATATATATATACATTTTTTTCCCTGACTATGTGGTTTTTTCAGAAAAAGCAAAAAAAAAAAAAAAAAAAAAAAAAAAAACGAAGAATAATGAAAAAACAATTTCTGTCCTAACTCAAACCCTTAGTATATTAGCAGCACTTCCTTGCATGTTCTACCTCGATAGTCAACCAATGTATGCACTAAAAGCCTCATGTTTCATTTTCTGGGGCAGGGAGGTTTTACCAATGCCTAAATTTTTTTCATAGAATAACGAATAAGCATACAAAACAGCTTGATTTTTTTTTTTTTTTTGATGTCCTGAATAATTTAGTTAGAGTTGTTACAAAGTATTGGAGAGTGGTCTTTCCTTAAACAGAAAAAAAAACATGGACAAATTTATATAAATTTGTTACTTATAGAACAGGAATTATGAAAATCAAAGGGAAAAAAGGTGGTACTCTTAAGTGCTCAACTCACAGAAATTGATGTTAAATAATTTCACAAAAAGATTACTTCTTCCTAGTTTTTAGCATCTAGGAGCTCTAAAAATATAAAAAAAGCTTATGGACTACTAATGGGACAAAAAATTAAAAAATTTTAATTTGAACCTGGAGTCCTTAGGTATAATAGCAGCAAGAACTCCAAGACTTTAATCTTAAAAACAATAAAACAACAAATATTATAAACTTTTTTCTTTTTGCAGATCATAAGTCAACCAACAAGTTTAGAGTCTCTGGACAAAAATAGAGATATATAGCAAGAGTCCTTTCAGAACTCTGCATCCCTAATTTTGGTTGTTATGAACAAAGAAACTGTATCTCACAACTAAATATAATATTTTTTAGTTATTATTTTCTAATTTTTGAGACCAGTTTAGGTTTTAGAAATTAGAAAATATAGACTCACTTATAGAAAAAAATAAAAAATTCCTACCCTCCTGTTTATTAATACCACCTTTTATCCCCCTCCCCCTTCCTTTTTATATCCCCTCTTTAAGTACATCTAGATAAAAGCTTGATTAGTCTAATGATTAAAAAAGTTTAACCAGTTTATTTTTCATAACCATTTCTCTTCCTTTATTTACAATTTCCTCCACAATTCTAAATACAATTTAAAAAAATAGTGCAAATTAGAAACATCTACTCCTGAATTAGCAACAACACTTACCACTGTTGCAGTATGTTGCCTGAAAGTCCCTTGCATATTGCTGTGAGAACTATTTTCTTTAAAATATTTTTAGGTAAAAAAAACAAAGGTAGAATTTTTATATCTGTTATGATATTCTAATGATTATTACATTCTGATTACGAATTAAAATTTGTTTAGGCTCAATTTTATAAACTATTAAATGCCAAATTAAATTAAATAATAAATGCTCGATCATATAAAATATGTTAAATATTTAAATGGTAAATGGCACCTATAATGCAGAAAGTGATAAAATAATGAAATGCAGAAAGTGACGGTAAATAACTTTATTAAATATTGATGTTTTTTAACAATAATTGTCAACTTATTCTTGGCCACTGGTCAATAAAAAACAACTGTTAACTATTCATTAAAATTAATTTAGTAAGTCAAAACTTGCTTAGTATAGTAATAAAAATTTAATAAAATTCTTAGAAACATTAAGTAAAAAAGTCAGATTATGATTCTAAATTTCCTCATTAAATTTATCTACTAATGATGTACATTTGACAATGTTTTTTATTTCTGTTTTAGAAACAATCCAACTCATTGTGATAATTTTAACTAAATTGTTCAAGACAACTTTTAGAAAAAAATTGAGCCTATACATTTGCATTTTTATAGTTCAACTCACCCTCTGTAAAATTTAAATAAATTTTTAAATTTAGAATCATATTTCATAAAATATCCAAGAAAATAGAAAAAGCAAGCCAGCAACAACTAAATGAACGATTTGATATGGACAAAACTGTTTCAGTTTTAAATTACTGTCAAGTTACTCTCAGGTGCTTAATACAATGTGGGGTTACACTTGCCAGTATCAGATTTGCTAGGGATCTGGCTGCGTTCAGACGCTTCATCAAAAATATCCTTGACAAACATAAGAACACTTCTCTTGGCAAGATTACGGTTATAGATTTGTGAAAAGGTACCACAACCAAATTTTACAGAATCAGAAATTTTTAGGAGCCGTAGAGCTGTAATTGAAGAACAGCTTGTTGTTATTTTTTTCAACAATCTCATTACACCCTGATCAAGGACATTTTAATCGCTTTCTGTTGATAATATAGATATGGCATTTAAATTTTGTTCTTTTACAGTAGATCTTAAATACAATTTCAATCTTTTTAGAAACGAAAAGCTACGTTCAGCAGAGCAATTTGCACAACAAGTGCACAAAAATATTCCTTAGCTATAATATAGAATTTGCCTAAAGTTCATTTTATTTCAAATATGAACTTAAACGAATACATTCTTCTATAAAACATTCATTTAAATCATTGTTGTACATTCGATATAAATGTACTTTATTTTCCAAAATTTTATCAGGTTGGTAATTTATTAAATGGCCTAAAAATGCAAAGTTTTTCTAAATAACTTCATATGCTTCAAGCCTCTTTTTCAGTTCTCTACTAAGACACAATTATAACATTAAATATCTAGATTTTTAAGTTCTGATTAGTATATGATTCTATGCGTGATTCATTCAGTATGTGATTCCGTGTGTGATATATTATGTATGTGAGTATGTAATTAGTATGTGATTCGGGTTCATTAATTTCTTCAATTTTCTTATCTTTCTTCGTTTTCTTTTGAATTCTTTGATGAGCGATATGTCTTTGACCTGAAATTTATAGTTTTCATTTAAATTTGACTTTGAATTTACAAATTCAATCAATTTATGATCAAATTGTATTGCTAAACAACAACAGATAAATCAATTTCTATTGATTGTAAACTAAAATTAGTAGTATTCAAGCGTTCCGAAACAGATTTCCAAAATGGCATCATAAAAGCAAAATCCGAAATAGATTTCCAAAATGCCATCATAAAAGTTTGAAATGACTCATTTGATTGTTAAAATTTTATTCTTGGCTTCTTCATTCAGAAGATATTTGTATACAGTATACAGTTTTATCTTCTGATATATATATATATATATATTTTTTAATATCTTCGCTTCCAACAAGGCTGCAAGCAACCACTAACTAGAGTTGGATGTTACTGGAAGAGAAAGGATGAAGATTGTAGAGCAAGATAACGATTGACAGACAACTTAAAAGATTGCAAGTTATATGAATCAGGAAAGCAAGAAGAAGGAAGCTAACTCCAAAGAACTTTAGCAGATGCTAATTTTGCAACGGATTTTATATATGGTTTCCAAGAAAGATCGGAAGTAAGAGTTAATCCTAATTTATTGCGATAACAATTGGCTGAAAAAAATTGAGTTTTATCTGAATTAAAGTTCACCAGCCACGGTGAGCCCCATGCTGTAGCAGAAGTGAGACCCTTTTCAAGCTCAAATGTCCCCTCCAAGCAATCAGTGAGAGATTTGCCTTCTTTTCATGACAAGAATAAATGGTAGTATTATCAGCGAACAATGCCCCTTTAGATGTGAGAATATCTGTAAGATCGTTAATGTAAATTATAAAGAGTTTAGGGCCAAGGATTGAACATTGAGGATCCCCTGAGGTTACAGAATAAGAAGAAGAGTGCTGTCTATCAAGGACAACTTTTATACTACGATTGGAAAGGAAGGATTCAATAATCCTAAAGATGTTTCCAGACACACCGTAAGAAGAAAGCTTATGGAGAAGACCAGCATGCCAAACTTTATCAAACGCTTTAGAAATGTCAAGAGTAATGGCCTTAACCTCTCCACCTTTATCTAATGCACAATAAAACCTATCGGTTATTACTGTTAGCAAATCAGCCATAGAACAAGAAGATCGAAATCCATATTGATTACCAGAAAGTAAGTTATCAGATTCAAGATGAGAGATTCAAGATGAGAAGTGTTTGTTAATTAATGATTCAAAAACCTTGCTTATGATAGTAAGACTAATTGGACGGTAGTTAGATGAATCAGATTATTCTCCAGAATTTTAAAAAAAAGGGATAACAGATGCTGCTTTCCAGCAGGCTGGAAAACAAGACTCTGTTAAGGACTTGTTGAACACGTATGTTGTCCGGGCCACAAGCTGTAGAAGAGTCTAAGCAGGAAATCACTTTAGATACAGAATGTCAAGCAATGGATCAACCTGTTTGACGGCTATATCAGATAGAACGCAACTAGTAGAATCAAAAGATGATATTGATGAAAAGTTCTTAGCAAATAATTCAGCTTTGTCTTTAGGTGAGGTGAGAAAGTCTGAACCAGACAAAGAGGTGGAATTACAGACTTGCCCTTATTATTGATACTATTAAAGATTCTCCAGAAGTCACGAGAGCCTAATTTTTGTGATGAAATATGAGATTTCATGACCTGAGAATAGCAGGCTTTGGCATTTTGGCCTTTTTACAATGGTTCCTAGCAGTAATAAACAGTCGTCTGTTTTCTGGAGAATTGCTTTGCTGATAGATATGGAAGTAACAATTTCAATAGGCAATTGCAGCAGCACAATGTGAGGAAAACCATGGAAAAGAGTGAGGCATCACCTGTTTTAAAGCTTTAAATACTCCCACCCATTTTAATTCAATTCTTTACAACCATTATATCAATAAAACCACCTTGTATCAGAAAGATTTTTAATAGTTTGTCTTTTTAAAGCACTAGTTAACACCAACAAACAATTTGTTGATGAAGAA